AATTACTGAAATTGTAATACAAACAATTCTTCTTCCCCATCTTCAGAATGTTCTTTTTTCCCTCAGAGTTCAAAAATTGTATCTGTAGATGCCCAGGTTTTTTTTCATCCAAGTCATCTGTAATTCTAAAATCCTTTCAATCTGTAATCTCATCTCTCTCTTGGATTCAGGAAAATTATTGTTTCAATTGTGATTTTTCTTCCATCTGTGCCTTTTCTCCTTCTGGGATTCCTATTACTCATAAGTTGGGGCTCCTGGATTTATCCTCCAACTCTCTTACCCTGATACAAGACTCATTAAACCTCCATCTTCCCAGATTCTCCTGTCTACCTTTTCCAAAAAGTATTAATAATATGTTACTTATAGTTGGAAATACTACAAAATTTGAATAAGGCCATCATCCAGTAGTACGAAATAAGCAAAACACTCTTAGTTTACTATGATAATTGCATAATTTAAAAAACAAAGGAATACCAACAATAAATAAATATGGAAATTATTAAAGGATGGCACAAATATAGCAAGTATAAAATTAAATGTTGATGGGCTAAATAACCCCATTAAAAGAAGTTTCCTCTGAATCTCTTTTGGAATAGAACATCATCCCCATCAATTTCCAAATAATGCAAAATTGTACAAAACATCCAGCAATATCATTAATCACAAAGTAAATACAGCACTTTTTAACTTTGTGTCAGAGAATCTTAAAGTGCCAGAGTCTAAAATCAGCTCCTTTCATTGATTTTTCTCCCCCCACAACTAAAGATTGGTAACTCCAGGAGAGAATGAGGGGAGATGCTTTCTTCTCTGAGTGTCATTCTTTAGAATTAAAGAGACTGTTGTGTTAATAATGAAGCATTGTAGTCAAAAGCAAATAGGAAACCACCTAAAATTTTCATTGGTAAACTTTTGTCCTTTTAAAAATGAGGAAAGCTGCTAGGACATTTTAAATTTGTTCAACTCATTGCTAAAGAACCTCATGTGGGTGGATAGAAAACAATCAGGCACTTTACGCAAACAGGTACATCTACACTCACCCCAGGAGTGATGTAATAACAATCCTTGTGCTTCAGAGCATGGCTGATCACCAGCTGGAAGAGAGAAGACATTCCCTATAGTATTTCTATAATGTCATCAATTATACTCAGACTAGAGGCCTGGTGCATGAAATTCATGCATGGGTATGGTCCCTAGGCCTGGCCTGTGATCAGGGCCATCTTCCCCAGCTGCCCGCAGCCGGCCAGGTCCCCCACTGCCACCCACCCGGTTCCCCATTCACCATCGGGTGATCGGTACCTGACAGCTGGGTGCAGGAAATGAGAGGTCGGCTGTTCCTGCCCACTCACCAGCCCTACCTCTGCGAGGGTGGCCATCAGGCGATCGGAGCCTGCTGGCTGGGGAAAGAGACCAAGAGGTGGTCAGTGCACCTCATAGTTACTGGTCCAGTGGTCGTTCTGTTGTTCTGCCATTAGGGTCAATTTGCATATTACCCTTTTATTATATAGGATGCTTATTTCCCTTTGGGGGACTTTAAAGTCCATTATGGCCAAATAGTGCAACAGGAAGGTAAAATCTTCAAAGATTTACAAAAATATTTTAAATAAATTAATTCAAAAAGAATAATAAACCCTCAGGGAAGGTAAGCAGAATAGCTTAGAAGTGAACAAAGATCATTTTGGGGTATTTTATCACACCCAGAGCATGGCATAGAGTAGAACTCAGGATTTGTTGAATGAATGGATGAATGAACAAATGGAAGAACAAACTTCGAATCCTAGTCTCACCAATATTGACATTGAGTACTTTGCTTATCTTCAGTTTACTCATCTTAAAAATGGGGATAAGTGTGCCCACCTCTTCTTGTTATTATAGGATTGAAGTAGGTAATGTGTGTAAGTGAATAAATCCAATGCCTAGTGCAGAGTGAACAATCAACAGATAACAGTCATTTTAAGAGCTTTCCTGGAAATGATTTAGCTAATTCTTGACCAAATAGATCTCACAATTAAATCATCTCAATATATTTCATAACAGATCTAATATATTTATATTGCCTTTATTATAAATCTGTATTCTATTGAGTCTTTGTGAAACCAATAAATAGCATATTACACTACAGACATTCCCTACAACTATCCTTTATTTTGAACTATGCATACATTTTCTGCAATAAGCAGACCTCTTAGATGGTGCCTCATTTGGGCTGAGATAACAAAATACCATAGACTGAGAAGCTTATAAGCAACAAAATATTCTTTCTCCCAGTTCTGGAAGCTGGAAAATACAAAATCAAGGTGCTGGCAGTTTTGGTATCTGGTGAGGGCCCACTTCCTCATATGGTGGAAGGAAGCAAGGGAGCTTTCTTGTGCCACTTTCATAAGAACACTAATCCCATTCTCGAAGGCTCTGCCCTCCTGACCTAATCACCTCCCGAAGGCCCCCACCTCCTAATACCATCATCTTGGGAGTTAGGATTTCAAGATATGAGTTTTGGGGAGACATAAACATTCGATCTATAGCAGATGGTATCCTGCGGTAAGTAAAGTTCAAACTCATAAAAAGAGTAACAGCTGCTCACCTTGAAATGTCCAAAGCCTGGGCTCAAGGCTATTACGACTTTTGGGCAAATGCATACAAAAGTCATGGAAAGGATTGTAAATTATGAGTTGTACTAACACCTCTAACAGTTTCTTAATAATTACCTTCTTGTTTTTAGCAATTCTCTTGGGACCCCTAAAATAGATGTATCCTATAGATACAGATGTTCCAAACCCACATGAAGAAATTCTATGTAAACAGAATACATAAGCTTTTGGATGCTCTGAAAGTCAGGTTAAAAATAAATCATATAGCATTTGTGGTCAGTGTAACTTTTTGTTATTTATTTGTTTTGTTTTGTTTTTGTTAATTCTCACCTGAGTATATTTTTTCTATTGCTTTTTCAGAGAGAGTGGAAGGAAGGGAGGGGAGAGAGAGAGGAAATTTCAATGTGAAAGAGACACAAAGATGTGTTGCCTCCCACAGGTGCCCCCACAGGGTCAGGAGGGAACAGCAACCTAGGTATGTGCCTTTGACCAGGAATCAAACCCTCGACCCTTTGGTGTGCAGACGGAGGTTTTAACCACTGAATGCAATAGCCAGGGCAGTGTAACTTTAAATAACAATAAAAACATTTTCCCCAAACAGTGATCAAGTGCTGTTTTCATTGATAAAAGTGTGGAAAGATAACCTAGTTTATTGGACTATTTCTCCAAGGGCAGGGTTATAAAAAGTTATTTTTTTTTTCTGGGCAGTAAAGTGGCTTTAAATGTAACTGCATATAATCAAATTATCTCATTTTTGGAAGATAGAAAATTGGAACATTTCTTAGAACTTAGGAAGAGTTTTTGTTATTTCATGAATCATTCACAAAAGGCAGCCATGTCACTATGTCATTTTACTCAAAGATTTTTCTTTCTTTTCTTAAAAAATATATTTTTGTTAATTTCAGAGAGGAAGGGAGAGGGAGAGATAGAAACATCAATGATGAGAATCGCTGATCAGCTGCCTCCTGCATGCCCCCTACTGGGGATCGAGCCTGCAACCTGGGCATGTGCCCTTGACCGGAATTGAACCCTGGATGCTTCAGCTGCAGGCCGAAGCTCCATCCACTGAGCAAACCAGCCAGGGCTTTTTTTTTTTCTTTTCTTTGTTCTCTATCATAAACTCACCAGTTCTGCAGGCAAGGCGCAGGACCAGATATCTCCAGCAATGTTTGGGGAGAGGAAGAAGGGTGCTTAATATATGAGGACTAATACTAGAACCCTCTTCATCTTCTTTCCCCGCATCACCATCACTTAAGGAAACAGAAAGAACTCACCGTTCTGAAGCTGTGGTAAGGCCACGTGACATTGAATAATGTTGATTGGAGCCAAATATTGAGACTCCACAGCGACACAGTGATTTATCCGGAGCTGCTGAACTATGGGAGCGCAGAACAGGCAACCCATTCCTGCCTCGACTGAACCAAAGGTCCTTCCGGCTCAGTGCAGAGAGCACGGCGAGAACACAGCTTTGGGAGGCAGGGAACGTGAACAGGGGACGACAGAGGCTCGTTTCACACCACACCTTAAGCAGCCTCTGTGCCCAGCCCGAATTTAAAGCGGGAAATGAAGGGGCATAGATGTGAATTAATACAAGGAGCCTTTACATCAGTCACCTAGTTTAACTCTAGGAAGTCGGTATTATTAGGCACCAGGGACCGAGGGTGAGACTGGAAGAGACTCTTGCCCTGGCTCCCGCCAGGCGCCGTCAGACTCCCGGGATGCGGGAGCGCCGGGGGGCAGGCTTCGGCGGGTTCACGAGGGGGACAAAAGCCCGGCTGCCATACAGAAACCCGGGCCTCAGCGAGGGCCTGCCGAGGCTGCCAGCAGCGGAAGAAGAAGGGGGCGTCTGCTCAAAGCCAAACACAGACTGTTGGCGAGAAGCACCAGCCCCCTCCGCCAGCCTCCTCGCTGCGGGGAGGGGTTTCTCACGCCCCCCGCTCCTGGGTGACTGCACCGGAGTCGGAAGAAAGCGGGCGAGGGATGAGTCATAGCGCCTAATTCCTCCTTCCGAGTCCCCTCGCCAGCCCACGCCGGCCCCCTCCCGGGATCATGCAGCGGGGAGCGCAGACTTCCCCCGTCCTCAGATCCTCCGCCAAATCCACTCTGGCCTGCGGAGGAGGGGGAGGGACGGGGCGTTTGGCCAATAACAGCTTCGCTTTCTTGCCTGCCGCCCAATAGACTGCTGTTTACAGGCAGGGGCGGGACTAGGAGGGCAGAAGTGGGCGGTCCCGGGCTGGCCGGGCGCCGCGGTGCAGCAGCTCACAGGGAGCGCGTCTCACAGGTAGTCCGCGCCTCGGCGACTCGGGACGCGCTGCCGCCGCTGGCCAAGGTGCTGGACACTACCGACCTGTCGGCCACCTCGCCAGCTCAGTTGCCCGTTGCAGCCGCGGCTGCCTCGCTCCCACCCGGGTCCCCATGGAAGAGATGGAAGAAGAGTTAAAATGCCCCGTGTGCGGGTCCTTCTATCGGGAGCCCATCATCCTGCCCTGCTCCCACAATTTATGTCAGGCGTGCGCTCGCAACATCCTGGTGCAAACCCCGGAGTCCGAGTCCCCCCAGAGCCGTCGGGCCTCGGGCTCCGGGGTCTCCGACTATGACTACCTGGATCTGGACAAGATGAGCCTGTACAGCGAAGCGGACAGCGGCTATGGCTCTTATGGGGGTTTTGCCAGCGCCCCCACTACTCCGTGCCAGAAGTCCCCCAACGGAGTCCGCGTGTTCCCCCCGGCTATGCCGCCACCGGCCACCCACCTGTCACCGGCCTTGGCCCCGGTGCCCCGCAACTCCTGTATCACCTGCCCCCAGTGCCACCGCAGTCTCATCCTGGATGACCGGGGTCTCCGTGGCTTCCCCAAGAACCGCGTCCTGGAAGGGGTAATTGACCGCTACCAGCAGAGCAAAGCCGCGGCCCTCAAGTGCCAGCTCTGCGAGAAGGCGCCCAAGGAGGCCACCGTCATGTGCGAACAGTGCGATGTCTTCTACTGCGATCCGTGCCGCCTTCGCTGCCATCCGCCCCGGGGCCCCCTAGCCAAGCACCGCCTGGTGCCTCCGGCCCAGGGCCGCGTGAGCCGGCGGCTGAGCCCGCGCAAGGTCTCCACCTGCACAGACCACGAGCTGGAGAACCACAGCATGTACTGCGTGCAGTGCAAGATGCCCGTGTGCTATCAGTGCTTGGAGGAAGGCAAACACTCCAGCCACGAAGTCAAGGCTCTGGGGGCCATGTGGAAACTGCACAAGGTGAGTCCTAAGAAACCCACCCCTATCTCCCCGCGCCTCCGATCCCTCGGTTTTGCGCAGACAGTCCTCCTCTTTTGCGCACAGTGCATCCCAGCGGGGGCGCAATGCAGGTGCCTACAGCATTTGCTTCCCCCGTCTGGTGCATTGCAGGAAGCGCAGGCGGATCTTAAACCGAGCACACTGGAGTTGACTATCCCCAGAGAGTTGTTGCGGGGATGCCTTAGAGCGAGTCTCCCGGAGGCGTTGCGGGTGATCCAGGCGCAGGGCGCCCCCTCTCCGCAGCAGACGTGCCGCTTGCGGTTGAGGCCAGCATGCGGGAAAGCACTGCGTGACTGGGCAGAGCAGCACCAGTGCCCAGGGCCGCCAGGGCCGCTCCAGGGCAAAGCAGGCTGCTGGGCTCTGGCCATGGTCCTTGGGGAGCAGGTGGGGGCGGTTGGGTGGCGAGGACCCCGGTGGGCTGGAGCTGTTAGATCGGCAGGCGTCACAGTCTCCGTGGGGGCGAGAGAAAGCCACGGGCGGAATACTGATGAGTCCGCGCGTGCCCAGACGCCGCGAACCTGCTGGAGGGGCTGCGTGGGGGCCCGTGCTTTGCGCTCGGGAGGCAGAGGAGTGAGGAGTGGGGTGGGGAAATCCTAAATCCTATGGTCGCCTTGGCACCTGGGCCTGCAGGCTTAGATTCCGACCCTCCCCAGGGACCTGTGGCTGGAGTAGCCGGACCTGAGGTTAGGTGCAGTCAAGGCCTGAAGGCTGGGCAAGCGTCTCTCCCTGGGTCACCCCGTCCTGCCAACCTCCCACCCACCCGTTTGTCCAAGATTCAATCCCTTTCCTCTGTGTAAACTTTGAGACACCTGTTACCAGATTTATCTTTCTGGTCTCTTTTGATGGTGCTTCCACCAACACCTACATGACTTGTTCCCCTTTGACCTGCCTCATCGATGTCATTTCCTCCTCATTCCCTCTGCTCCAGCCACAATGTCCCTCTTGCTGTCCCTCAACCAGCACCAGGCACCTTCTGGCCCCAGAGCCTTTGCATCTGATGCTCCCTCAGCCTAAAGTGCTCTTCCCCAACGTGCTATCCCCATATCTGAGTGGCTCACTCTCTTGCCTCCTTCAGATCTTTGCTCAGATGTCACCTTTGTCCTGACCACAGTTGCTGCCACCCATCTCAGACATCCTTTAGTTTCCTTCCTACTCTATTTTTCTCAGTAGAAATTATCACTATCTGGCATGCTATATGTTTTAATTATGTTTTTTTTTTGTATGTCTGTTGCTTCCCTCCTCTCCCTCCATCCCCATACCCTAGAGAATAAGCTCCAAGAGGAAAGAGAGCTGCCCTGGCCAGTCTGGCTCAGTGGATAGAGGGTTGGCCTGCGGACTGAAGGGTCCCGGTTTCCTTTCTGGTCAAGGGCATATACCCAGGTTGTGGACTCAGTCCCCAGTGAGGGGGATACAGGAGGCAGCCGATCAATGATCCTCTCTCACTGATGTTTCTATCTCTCTCTCCCTCTCCCTTCCTCTCTGAAATCAATAAAAATAATTTTTTAAAAAAGAGGAAAGAGATCTTTATAATGTTATGTCCACAGGGCTTGGAAGGAAGGGAACCATTCTTGAGACGTACATAAATGTGACTTCTACTTTTTAAGTAACCCATTCAGTGGGGGTGTGAAGGGTCGGGCAGGGGTTCCAGATTGTTGTAGGGAGGGTTTCTTCACATCATTTCATTGCAAGCCCAGGGATAAGGCTGGGCCTAAAGATGGTGTTCAGTCCCCTCAGCTATGCCCCCACTCAGGATTTCCCAGCATTCCTTAGGCCTGGCCTTTGAGAGAGGCCATTGATATTTTATTTACAGAATAAAAAAATCACACACACCACTTTCAGCAGTCAGGGAGGGTTTCTCAACTCAATATTAATTGCACGCAATCCACACTTACAGTTATTTGTGTTCTCACATATAACCTATTAAACCATATTAGTCTTGCTGGAGATCTAATTCAGCACAAATTTGAGCTCCACTAGGCACATGCCATTATTTTGAAAATGCTTCCATTTAAATATTTTTAAATGACAATTTGAGTGTTTTCAAAATTTAGTTCACAGTCAGTTTTCATTTAATTGTGTGCATTCACTCTTAAACTGCTATGTTGTGCCTTTCTATCCTTGGAACTAAGAAATTAATCACCCTATCTGGAAAGAGGAACTTTGAGCCACACACTAATTAGGATGGTCAAACAAGAGCATTATTTTTCTGTGAACAAGAGCCTAAAGTACTTTATCCATTAAGTCTAAAAAAAAACCACCTTTAAACCTGTCTAGCCCCATGCAGATTTGAAATGTTAAACCATTTGTTTTATCAGTAATGGGAAGCTGTGAGTAGACTCGGTGATATGGACTGGGTTGAAATTTAGATGCCTGCTAAAAAAGAATAATGTTAAAGCCCTTGAGATTTAAATAGGCTAAGAAGGGAATGTTGGTTTGCTTTTTTTAAAGATAATTTCTTCTCTAATCTTATGCAGATTTTTTCCAAAATAGTAAATAGGTATAAATTTGGTCAGTCAATATCAGGATTATTAAACTTCCAAGAAAAAAATAAGGAAGAAGGATGACAGATTTAAACATTCACTTACCATCTGTTGATGAACAACAAACATTACTCCCCCATGTTATCTGTTTAATAGGGTAGTTAATGTGTTAACGCTTGATCTTTCTCATATTGTTAATGATACTTCTATCCTCAGAAAAAGCTCATGGGCTGGAAGTTTTATGCTCTTTAAGACATAAAAGAACAAAGATTTACACTAATTAATTCTCCCAAAGTTGGACAATTAGTTCTCTACACAGGTGATTACTAGACCCGAAAGTTTTCATTAACAGTCTACCATGTTAATTAGCCATTTCTAATGATAAAGAAAATCTTATCTATAATAATAAAAGCGTAATATGCTAATTAGACTGAACAGCTGAATGACCTTCCGGATGAAGCCAGGGCTGCGAGGGCCAAGCCCCTTTCACGAATTTTGTGCATCGGGCCTCTAGTGAATAAACATTTTCCTTGGGCACTAAGTCATTACCTTACTCAAGAAAAAATGACTGAAGTTATTTTTAAATAATTTTTAAAACTAGTTAAAATATATCTGTCAATTGACCAAATTAAAATACTTTTCAGGCATATATGACCTTCAAAATCCATGAAAAATTGCAATGCAAGAAGAGGCATTAAAAGATAAATATCTGCTATTAGTTTTATTTAGTATCAGCACTTGCTATGTTCCTTTATCCAATTTAGGTTGGTATAAAGAATTGTACACACGCAAAACAAATCATTTTGTAGATACTTTCAAATATATCATTGTAATCATTATTATTACTTTGTAATTTTTAGCAATTCACATTCCTAAATCTAACATTATTCTTGATTCCTGATGTTTTTTATCAATTATTGAATCAGTGATATATTTGTGGCCAGCTTTGTGTTTATGCTGTTGAGCAAGGATTTACTTTTTCTTTGCATCCTAAACACTAACTATTCATTCATTCTCAAATGTTATTTCTATCTTCTTTTTTGTTGTTGTTGATGATGATTTGCAATTTACAACATTTTAAAATAAACTGTCAGTTGTTATGCTTTGTTTTTCAAAGTATTCTGGGGGGAAAATATCTGCTTTGCAGTATGGTGACATCTCGTCAAACATTTCTGTAGGAAAATGTGTTATTTAATGTAACTAAAGTGATATTCAGTTAACTATATATCAACAGTAAACACAATATAATCTAAGACATTACCGTGGTAAATGTAACAGGTAGCATATGTTCATGTTTTTTAATTTTTAAAAAGTTTACTTCTAGTCCAATCAGAACATTCTGTGTGTAATGTAAACATTCTTAGAGGCATTAAGGAGAATGTTACAGATAAACAAAATTTTCCTCTTTGTACTGAGACATAATGGAAAGAACTAGATGACAGGAGATCTGGGTTCCAGATCTGATGTTACCACTTACTTGCTGGTAACGTAAAGCAAGTCTCATAACCTCTCTGTGCTTCCTACCCACAAGGATGCAAAGGAGCTAAAACTATACTGTGGAGGTATTTTGAAAAAAAAAAGTAAATGTTTACAACTTACTAACTTCGGTTTGACCCAGGAGAAGGTTTTTTAATAAAACAGAAGTTATTGTCTCACTAGTCAACAACTACTACATAAAAATCTCACCGCCCAGCTTGGAGTACTTTGCTTGCTCCTTCCAGAACACAGAGTGTAGTACAAAGGCTACTCTGGATGGTGGCCTAAAAGAGGGAACTACATCATTACAGGTCCATAGAGAAGCTCAGGGAATAAGAATGCTACCCAAAGGTTTATTTGTATATTAAATAAAGGTATCTTGTTTTTCAATAACGAAGCTAAAAATGATAACTGATATGACTCAGGTTTTTTTCAGATTCTCCAGTGAAGATATTATTATTATGTTGAGGTATTATAAATTGTTCTTCCTGTATATGCCACGAAAAGATGCTATTAATTGGAATTCAGGGTCAAATCACAGTTTGCAAAAAGTAAGAGAAAATGATCACAGCCATCTGTTATTAAGTAATAAGATAATGCACAGACAAAATTTACCTTTACCATGAATACAATAAATTGCACTTCTCTCACCTAAACACTTGCAGAGTGTGTGTATGCATATAACTGAACCTTGGCACAGAGGATAAGATTCATTACAAGATAAATGTTTAAGAATGAAATAGTTCTACATAATATCATTTTTGTCAGTTTTATGAGGGATTGTTGGTTATAACCCCACTTAGGTGATCTCAGAGGAATTCATGGGAAATGAAACAAAATCAACTCACAGAGAGAAAGGAACTAGGAAGCTGGAAACTAAGTTCACTCTCCATACTCATCAGTTTGGACTAAGTTATGCTGCAGTCACAATTTCCAAGTCTCAGTGAATTACAACAGCAGCGTGTAATTTCTTACTCATGTCAATGCCCACTGAGACTCAGCTGT